ATAAAGGTACAAGGCATCCAAACTCAAAATCATCAATAGTATTATTCAACACACTACAGAGAAACGAACAAAGCTTAAACACATAAACGTATTTACTATCTCAACGTAACATTGATTACTAAAAGGTAAAATCAACATTTCACATGCATCTTCATCCTCTTTCTGTGATCTTCACAATGTGAATGCACAACTGCTCAGTGCTCATTGTTGAACATTGCATAATTTGAAGGTTTATGATGACGTTTGATTGCAATTTGCCATTTGAGTGATTTCAAAACAGAACACAAAAATGTTACCTTCTGTAGCAGTGTTATCCGATGACGGCCCTGCAGTGGCAGTAGCAGCACTATAGTTGGCACAATCCGGTACGTTCGCTCTGTAATCGCATCCACCAGACACTTCATTGAACACCAGTCCACGAGAACATGACTCGTACTCGAATTGCTCTCCACCGAAACACTGCAAAACAAAACACACTATATATTGTTCAAGCAGCAAAGCTAATAAACAATAAAAGAATATCCAAATTTGATAAGGTTAATGTCGCACCTGTATGATATTAGCGCAGTTCTTCGGATGTCTATATAATCCATCTTCACGTACCAAACAAAACTGGTTTCTCGATGAGGATCCGTTACCCGTCTCCTGTGAGAGTATTGGTTGACTTTGCATAACCAATTTCTCTTGCTTATGATCATCACTGTTCACTTGATTTGCTATCTGATCTTTATTGATTTGTTCTTGAAGCTTCTCGGTTTGGCTTTCAATCCGGTCCTGGTCTTGTCGGTGAATAACTTGAGTACGACCATCAGACTGAACAGTCGAATCCCGCACGCATTCGCCACTATTCGACTTGGGGATGCACACACCAACAGTTGGTGAGAAAACGTCATCAATATTAACGCAATGACGGTATGACACTGAACCCTGAAAAGTTGATCATCTCATCCGATTATAATGCCCGACGTGAGGCAAACTCATGAAAGTGCAACTTTGTTAACAAACAGGCAAAATGGCCAACCGCATTGCATAAGATATACTGATTATAGCAAGGGCCAATTGCTATCTTCGAGCCATCCTCAACACCGGCACAGATTGGATGCGAATATCTCGACACTTTGTCATCACTCATCTTTCGATCCAGCAACGGCACTTGCCAACGTCCACATTCAGCCGCTGGCATGCAAGTGCGAAGAATATGATCGAACAAGTAGCCACGAATACAAAATGTCTGCAATTTCGGAGTGAATCGTCATTGAATCATTCAATTTTTTCCCATACCAACTGATCAGATCATCAAAAGGCTCATTCATAGCTCCAAAGCGATACAACACACCAAAAACACTCACGTCATGTGCAAAACCACGCAGACAAACGATGAAGTCTATACGGCAGAATCCGATCGCAACAGCAGATGCACCCGAATACGCACATCTTATATCTGAATTGTAAGCTGGTTGAATGAAAGATTCCAACGATGGATCTGAAAACACCAACGCATTTCAGTGTTACGACTGAGAATATTAATGACTACAGCATTCGACGGA